ATTAATATATTAATTGTGGGGTTGCTCCACAGTATTAATATATTAGAAGCCCTTATATTATTCTCCTTAGGGTCCCTACTGTAGCTCTATATACACAACATTAGGCTCATGGAAGAGCAGAACAATCTCATATTCCTTGGAATTCGTCCACCCCCTCTCTCTCTCTCTCTTCCAAGGAGTAGTTCTATTTCTTGTGCTCCACTGATACAAGATCTAGATAGCTGTTTGAGAATACAGTAGAAGATCTTAAGGTATATACGGGATTCCAATCAGATCTATCATACATCCAAACCGGAGACCAAAACCAGCAAGTGACCATACCACGACGAGTCGGAGAGATCGCCGTCGAGATCGCCGCCAGCCGCCGCCGCACGCGCCCGCACGCGCCGCCGGAAAGTTGCAGTTTCTGGAGACTAATCTAGCGCGTGAGAGCGCGTGGATCGCCCGATTTTCGATCGGTCAACGCTGTCGACTTCGCCGTGACGTCAACTTTCCGGATTGGTCAAGTTTGTTCGATTCCGAGAAGATTTGATTGCGGTCAACTGTTCGGGCCAGCCAGATCTACATAAATTTTAAGCAGTAAGTTTTCTTCATCAAACCTTTAGATCCGCTGCGCATAGGTTTATGTTAAATGTTTGTCCGTGATTTGTGCATATCGAGATCCTCATATGTTCCAACAAGATCAACCCGAGTCGAGTAACTCGGTTATCCCTTGCCCACCAAATCTTTACTAAACACTCTTATTAGTGGAAATCGCACTAAGTTCTCATCGATCGACATACTTTGAGAAAAAGAAGAATGAAGAAATGATAGAGGAAGCCCTCGACCTGATCGAAGAAGGACGGGAGGAAACATGGATATGATCTGTTGACTACATGCAAAAGATGCGAGCGGCGTTTGACAAGAGGGTGCGAACCCGACGTTTTCAAGTAGGTGATCTCGTCCTCAGGCGAGCAGATGCATTCAAGCACGTCGAAAAGCTCGAAGCAAACTGGGAAGGGCCCTACACTGTCACAAAGGTGCTCGAGAGAGGTGCATACGAGCTCGAAGATGTTGAGGGACGGCAACTGCCACGATCATGAAACGTGGTTCATCTTAAACGCTTTTATGCTTAAGTTGCTTAGCATTATGTTTTTGTACTGAACAATTCTCAATTCTACTTCAGTAATAAAATGAAATGTTTTGATCTACGTTTCTCTTACCTTATATTTGCGTATCGACATGTCAAGATTATTTTAAAATCAAAATATTCAAAACGGCTATGCAGCCGACTAACTGACAAAACTATGAAGTCGACGAAAACAACTACGAAGTTGAATTTTTTGAGTGGAATCTCGAATAAGCTATGAAGCTTACGACTACGAAGTCGACTTACACAACTACGAAGTTGTATTTTTCGAGTGGAATCTCAAATAAGCTATGAAGCTTACGACTACGAAGTCAACTTACAAAACTACGAAGTTGTATTTTTCGAGTGGAATCTCGAATAAGCTATGAAGCTTATGACTACGAAGTCGACTAACACAATTATGATGTTGTACCTTTCGAGCGGAATATCGAATAGCTACAAAGCTATCGACTACGAAGTCGATCTAACAGACAAGTACAAAGTTATATTCGCGAGTAAAACTTTGAATAAGCTATGAAGCTTGCAACAACAAAGTCGATTTACAAACAATGAAGTTGTCATCAAGCAGAATCCCGAATAACTTATGAAGCTTATGACCACGAAGACGACTAAAACAACAAATACCTGCTTCTTGAATATTGGGGTAGCTATGAAGCTAATTACACAACCAACGAATGCCACTATGGTAGTGAAAAACTTCAGATTAACAGATACGAAGCTGCTAAATATCGTTGCTCGTCTTTGACCAGCTCGCAAGCCGGGTTGGGAAAAGACTAGTCGAAAAACTTCTGATTACCAGCTACGAAGCTGTTAAATATCGTCGCTCATCCTCGACCAGCTCGCAAGCCGGGTTGGGAGAAGACGGGTTGAAAAACCTTTGATTATCAACTACGAAGCTACTAAATATCGTTGCTCATCTTCGACCAGCTCGCAAGCCGGGTTGAGAGAAGACATGTTAAAAAAGTTATGATTATCAGCTACGAAGCTGCTAAACATTGTTGCTCGTCTTCGACCAGTCGCAAGCAGGGTTGGGAGAAGATGGGTTGAAAAACCTTCGGTTATCAGCTACGAAGCGGCTAAACATTGTTGCTCGTCTTCGACCAGCTCGCAAGTTAGGTTGGGAGAAGACGGGTTGAAAAACCTTCGATTATCAGCTACGAAGCTGCTAAATAAAGTTGCTTATCTTCGACCAGTACGCAAGCTGGGTTGAGAGAAAGCGGGTTGAAAAATTTCTGATTATCAGTTATGAAGCTGCTAAATATTGTTGCTCGTCTTCGACCAGCTCGCAAGCTGGGTTGAGAGAAGGTGTAGTAAGACGAGACAAAGTACTTGGAAAAAGTAAAAAAAAAATAATAATATATATATAATATAATACGACACATGAGAATTAAAAAGATGGATATTGCATTGATAAGGGTTGAGTACATACTAGATTGTCTCGACCCTCACAAGATGTTCAAACATAGGTCGAGACTAAAAAAAAAAGCAAACCACAAACCTAGCAAACAACCATTACAACCCAAGACAAGCACGCATTCAAGAATCTACAGTCGATTTTTCGGCCTCTTCATCCCCGTCAGCAATAGGCTTCATCCCTGCACCCTCCCCGTCAGCGATTGGATCTATCCCCTGCCACTCGACTTCCAACTTCCCGTCGACCGACTCCTCATGATCGTCCCGACTTGTCCCGACTAATTCGGTCGGACCGGCTAAGGGAGTGGGGGGAACCTCGAGTTGAGCACTCAAGCCAGCATTGCGAATCACCCGAGCTAGAGTTCCGACCACCATGGATAATCCTCGGAGAGCTATACATCACCCTAATATCCCGCCGGGAGAGGAATTGTTTCCTTAACCGCTTGACGATTGAGTTTCCCAGCAAGTGCAGTACCATTCACAGTCGACTCCAATGCATCGAAAGTGAAGTTAAAGTACTGGAAGGTTGCGGGAAAAAGCTTGTCAAGGAAAGCTGGGGAGTTGCAGAAGGCTTAACGAGCTCTTGGCGATAGATCTCGAGGAAGAAAGAACCCATGGGCAACTTAACAAAAGTCTTGCGCCCTTCCTCAAGTCCCGCTGTTGACATGGTTTTCGTTAAACCAAATAATTAATAATTGTCAGCATCAGGTGCTCAATGATTAGAAGGTTATGCTACCTCAGAGGTTGATAAACTCACAAGATTTCAAGTAACTACATGTCGGATAAGAGTGAGCTAAGTACCGACGTCATCATCAAGGAACCGACATCTCCTGTCGGTTATGGCTTGCCAAACCGATATCTATGACATGCCAAACCGACATCACGAGGCGGTGTCGACTCAGTAAATCATCATGACGCTTGACCAGGTGGCACATTATGAGAACAAGTGGCAAACAGCCGCCGTTGACTTTTCTTTTAGAATTAACACAATCTCGGCCATCTTGTATTGTACTATAAATAGCACAAAGGAGCCCCAGAAAAAGGGACATGGAATAATATTCTTAATAATCTTCGCACATGGCTTATTCTTCTCTGAAACAGTTGAATTATCTTAACTATTGAATTAGTTCACACGAATAAATCGTTGTTAATTCACATGTAACAACAGTTTGGCACTAGAAGGAGGGCCTCATAAGTGTTTGAGGTTAATATTCGCGTTTTCATATTTCATGCTTACCAAGATGTCACAATCTGGCCGAGACCATACTTCCCATGCTGGACAAAGCCACACTACAAATCATTCCGCGAGGCGTACGACGCAACCACCTCCAGCAACCAATCTCACGGATTTCTTTCAAGATCCAGAGTTCATTCAAGGATTATCGTCTCTCATAGCTCGAGCTATACCCAGAGCCTCGAGCACCGCGCCATTACCAACACCCTTCCCTACAAATCCAACGGAACAACTAAATCTTGTTCACCAGAACCAAGAAACACATGCGGCGACATCATATGCCACTTCACAACCACGCCACACTTCTCAGCACCGAGACGAGCTGACACGTTTAATTGCAAATCCAATACTAGATAATTTGGCCACGCATGGGCCTCCTGTTCAGGAAATGACTGCTGAAAGCCATTCTGCCCATCGTCATAAAGCTCCTTTACATCCTAGACCTCCCTCGCCTTTACCTCAAGATCGTGAAGATTTATGCCATCAGATTGAACGAAATCGCATGTCAAGACACGGTTCTGAAGAATTAGAGGCTCTCCATAAAAGGCTGGCTGAAATAGAGACCCAGCAGAAATCACAAGAAGAGTCCCCCCGATATGTCTCGACATTGGGTAAAGTCATCGTTGAAGCTGATTCGCCCTTGGCACCCGAACTCACTGTAGAGGCACTCCCCACGAAGATAAAAATCCCACAAATCGACATGTATGATGGAACTTCAGATCCTGATGCACATTTGGGTCATTATACGTCTTGGATGGATTTGCATGGTGCGTCCGACGCCCTATGATGTCGGATGTTTTCACTCACACTGGGTCCGCGTGCGCAAAAATGGCATTATACTTTGCCACCTCATTCAATATGGAAGTGGCAACAGCTACGCACAACTTTTCGATCACACTTTATCGGGGCCCAAGTTTGTCTCATCCCGAAGGAATAAATCACCAATATCATACAGAAAGACAATGAAACGGTCAAAGACTATATATCTCGGTTCAATGAGGAGATTCAGAATATAGAACCTTGTCATCCCGAAACTCTGCTGGTAACCGCAATCGCTGGATTAAAACCCAATTCTATGTTTCGCTGGACTGTTTGTCAGAACAAGCCGGCTACTTTTCAAGAATTTTTCGTGCGCGCTCAACAATTCATTATTGTCGAGGAGTCGATGTCGGTTCCCAGCTTCGACTTCTCGGTCAAGAAAGATAAGTCCGAACCAGAGACAAAGAAAAAGAATAAGAAGAACTTTAGTAAAACTCAATACCGAGGTTATTCGAAAGGTTATGAAGATACCCCGGAATCTAAGGCCGCCCGAGATCAATATGCCACAACGTAAGAACCGATTATCAGACCTTTTATTCAGCGGGGGCAGCCACTATTTTTGAAGAACTGAAAGGAAAAGGAATTATTCCTGATCCAAAACATGTAAGAACTCCTGAAGATAAGCTTGAGAAAACTCATTATTGTGCGTACCATAAGTCCCCGGGACATAATACCGACGAGTGTCTTGGCCTCTTGTCGGCTCTCCTGCGTCTAATCGGACAACTCCAACTTCAAAAATTCAGGAATTTCGATACTCGCCGCAAAGGAAGGCCCGCAGATGTCTCGGATGAAGAGGACGATGATGATCGAAGCGCCAATCCAAAAAGAATCCGTGCAACCGACAAGGAAGTTTTTACTTTTTCTAATCTTGTCGGAACTTCGACCATTGAATGCAAGAAACCTAGAACTCATGATGCATCAAATTCTACCCATTATGTACCTCGAATAAATTCCAACACTAAACAGTTAGATACGTCTCGGCAAAAAGCCAAAGCCTATGCCCGAGAAGCACAAAACGCCGGGAAGCAAGTCATGAACGTTGATCTTCGAGACACCATTAACAAGCGGAATTGTCCTGTCACTTTTAATATTGAAGATGCTAATTTGTTTGCTTATCCACACTCCGATGCTCTCATCATCACTGCTCCGATTGGGGGAATTCCTGTTCACCGAATTATGGTCGACACCGAAGCTTACTCAAGCATTTTGATGTTTCATACTTTCAAGAAAATGGGTTTAGATCCCGCTGATATCAGACCTTGCAATGATTAGATTCAAGGCTTCAATGGGAGCATTTCTTGTCCCCTTGGTGAAATCCTACTTCCTATTCGGTTTGGCGGTTTCGGACCAAAGTCCAAGATTATTATGGAGACCTTTAAGGTCATGGATATCCAAAATGAGTACAATGCTGTTGTAGGACGCACTGCTCTTTATAAACTCCGAGTTGCTGTTTTGATTTTTCACTATGCACTGAAATTCCCCACTCTTGAAGGGGAAGGTACTCACTATGGAGATCAACAAGAAGCGCGAAACATGACCTTGACTCCAGATTCACGCAATGTCCACACATATGAGACACAAAAAATTCTTGATTTCGCTCAAAAGGACTTGGTAAACTCTGTATCCCCCGATGCTGATGTGACAGATCCACTTACTCTGAATATCGACATCTCTTTCATATCTGATCCGACATCCCTATGACGTCGGAGTTGTCTAATATGTTGGATGAAGGACAAGTCCGAGAACAGCAGCCGAGCGAAAAGATTATCCAGTCACAAGATGATATGGACTCCAGGTTGCAATTCAAAGATAAGAGTCATCATATTCGAGCGGAACCTGTTGAAGATGTTGAGATTATTTACGTACATGAGTTAGCTCAGGACAAACCACTGCGTATCGGAGCCAATCTCCAGGAACCACTACGCTCCCAACTAATACAATTTTTTCGATCGAACTCCGACGTATTTGCATGGAAACATGATGACATGAAGGGAATAGACCCTCAGAAATCGTGCCATCGAATGAATCTGGATAAAACCGTTAAACCCGTCATACAAAAACGCCGGAAGTTCGGACCTGATCATCAAAAAGCATTAGAGGAGGAGGTGAACAAACTCATTGATAATAAATTTGTCAAAGAAGCTAAGTATCCAACGTGGATATCAAACCCAGTTCTGGTCAAGAAAAGTAATGGCCTTTGGTGCCTGTGCATTGATTTTTCGGACCTGAATCAGGCATGCCCGAAAGATAGTTATCCAGTCCCACACATCGATTATATGGTAGACGCCACGTCGGGACATCAGCTCATGAGTTTCTTGGTTGCTTACTCTGGTTATAATCAAATTCCCATGCACCCCGATGATGCTGAACACACCTCGTTCTATTCGGCCCGTGGTCTTTATTGTTACGTCATGATGACTTTTGGATTAAAGAATGTTGGAGCCACATACCAGAGGCTAGTCAACAAAATGTTTGCTCAGCTGATCGGACACACAATGGAAGTATACATAGACGACATGTTGGTCAAGTCGGAACAAGCAACCGATCATATTGCCCATCTCACCGACATCTTCAACATTCTTCGTGAGTACTCAATGGTACTTAACCCCAAATTGTACCTTTGGAGTTTGCTCGGGAAAATTCTTAGGATATATGGTAAGCCAGAGAGGAATCGAGGCTAACCCCGCAAAGATTCAAGCCATACTCGACTTGGCTCCTCCATCATCCATCAAAGGCGTTCAAGCATTAACTGGTCGGTTGGCCGCTCTGAATTGATTCATCTCAAAATCGACAGACCATTGCAAGCCCTTCTTTGATGTTATTAGGAAGAAGAAATCGTTTGAATGGACTGATGAGTGCCAGCACGCCTTCGATACTATCAAAGAAGTCCTTTCACGACTTCCGACGTTGCAGAAGCCCGTTCCCGATGAACCCTTGTATTTATACCTGGGATTTAGTGATG